AAAAATGTAATAAAGTGTTAGGGGCCTCGGGATGCTACAAAAAGGCCTAATATGTATATATATATATATATATATATATATATATATATATATATATATATATATATATATATATATATATATATTATATATATATGTATGTATATATATATATATATATATATATATATATATATATATATATATATACATATATATATAATATATATATATGTATATATGAATATATATATATATATATATATATATATATATATATATATATATATATATATATATATATATATATATATATATATATATATATATATACACACACACACACACGTGTATTTATAGAAATATATATTTACAAACAAACACACATACATACAAACACACATACACACACAAACACACACACACACACACACAAACACAGACACACACACACACACACACACACACACACATTTATATATATGTGTGTGTGTGTGTGTGTGTGTATGTATGTATGTGTATATAAATATATATGTGTGTGTGTGTGTGTGTGTGTGTGTCTGTGTGTATGTGTGTGTGTGTGTGTGTATGTGTATGTGTTTTTGTATATATATATATATATATATATATATATATATATATATATATATATATATATATATATATATATGTATATGTATACTGTATATGTGTTTATATATATACGGGTATCCACACACACATACATTTCAGACCTAAGGTCGGCACAGCAAGGTATCCGTTACAATTTTGTTTTGTATTTTTTTACATTCTAACATATACCTATATTTCAATCGAAATATATATATATATATATATATATATATATATATATATATATATATATATATATATATATATATATATAATTGTATGTCTAAGGTATGACATTTATTGCATATTTCGTAAGACAAAAGACGCCATACATCTTGCTTCTAAATTTAAGCATGCCATAATGTTCTTCCCTTCTTAGATATCAAAACAATCTTTTAAATGGTAATGGAAATAGTCATTATTATTATCACTATTACTTTCTTCCTGGTATTCACGGATAATATATATACTCTTATTCATATGTTGCTGTTATAGTTCTGTTAACACTGTTTGCTTTTTCTTTTCTGGAAAGAAAATGAGTAAGAGTGAGGAGCAAGCATCTCTTGAACCTTATAGTTAAGAGGTAAGTGAAAATTAAGATATTTAAAGATCGATGATAACCAGGGACGTCAATTTGGGGGGGGGCTGAGGGGGGAGTTGCTGTACCAGTCTGTTCTGCTTTGTTTGTATCTTTAATCAAATTCAATTAGCTCTGAAAGTTGTTGGGGTGTGGCCCTTGAGGGACAAGATAGACCTTGAGGGGGGGGCAAACAGAGTCTTGGGGGGGGGGGGGGGGAACTGCTCCCCCTAACCCCCCCCCCCCCCCCCCCGCTAATTGACCTGTGTGAGTGTGTGTGTATATATATACATATATATACCTATACATACATATATTTGTGCTTGTATATATATAATACATTCATATGTGTGTCTGTGTGTGTGTGTGTGTGTAGTTAAAACAGTTAAATATAAATAAATAAATAAATGTAATCCCGGACGGTTAAAAATATAGAGAGATGTATCCTTGTGGTTCATGCCAAGGGTCATATACAGAAGGTTATTTTGGAATTGGAAAAATGAGGTTATTTTACCAATTGAGTTTTTCGCACTCGTAGTTGTGGCAGGGAATGTAGTAGTGGTATTAATAGCAGGAGTGCTATTACTGCATTCTCGTTTCTTGTGGAGGAATGACAGGTAATGACTGATGACAGATTGCGAGCTTTGTGAGGACTGGTGACAGGTTGACAGGTTAGTAGCGATATCGATTTGATAATTGACAGGTATGTGATGATACACACACACACATATATATATATACATATATTGTGTGTGTGTGTGTATGTATGTGTGCGTGTGTGTGTGTGTGTGTGTGTGTGTGTGTGTGTGTGTGTGTACGTGTGTGTGTGTGTGTGTGTGTGTGTGTGTATGTGTGTGTGTGTGTGTGTGTGTGTGTGTGTGTATGTGTATGTGTGTGGTGTGTGTGTGTGTGTGTGTGTGTGTGTGTGTGTGTGTGTGTGTGTGTGTACGTGTGTGTGTGTGTGTGTGTGTGTGTGTGTGTGTGTGTGTGTGTGTGTCTATGTGTGTGCAATCACCCAAGTCACTAATGAGACGTATACATTCTTCCAGGATCTGATCAAACAAAAACTGAAATAGAAATATGACACGCAAGGGGGGAAAAAACAACACTGCAGACAATTCCGCCAGATGCAACTCAACACGCGTGAAATGATAAAGCTGCAACTTTTTCTTCCGTCCGTGCTCAGCCACAAAGACGTAATGGTAGCCTGGTCTTACGTACAGGATTTTCTTCCTCTTCTCTAATTTCTTCTTCCTTCCGCAAAAAAGAAAAGAAAAAAGAAAAGAAAAAAAGAACATGATTGAATTTTCTTGTAATTCTTTACAATCGTTT